GAATTATCCACTTGCGAGGAGAGACGAGAATTTGATAAATGGAAAATATTCAAATCCCTTGATACTTCCTTATTCCTAATTTCATTCGAATATAATGCCAACCCCTTGCTTTGTGTCCTGCCAGCCTTATGATAAAGATTTCAATTAGTTCAAACTAAATATTATCCTTCTATTCCCGATTATTATACTTCAGAGCAAACAGAATCAACCGAAAAACCTATAATTCCTCTTTCTCCGGTGAATTATAAATGATAAAGTCGCGAAATCGATCATACTTGAGAAAGAAACCATGGAGCAACGTAACCCTTTCCATTCCAATATCCAGTGATGGAAATTTTCAACTGAATTTGATAAATCCGAACGTTATTCATTTACTTTTCACTCGAATGAAATATTGTTTATTTATTACCAACGTTTAATCTTTAAAGTAAACGTAGACGCGTAATCAGAATCAAATTCTTATCGTTTTCTACTGAATCGTCTATGACGAAGTACTTCTATTAAACAACCGTGAAAGAAATCATAGGAGGGGTTAACCAGTTAAGTGCGTTTGACGAGTATACGCGTCATCTTAACACGTTGCCGACTAATTTTCAGAAAAATCAATCTTATCGAGATATCACGCATAAACTGAGAAACAATATTTTATTTCAATATTTCATACACTCGTGTTTTTCGTAGAACTCAATATTAACCCTTTGCGGACGAACGTCGACATTTTGGCGAGATGAAACGTTCATATTTGGAAGACTGAGTCGCGAGAGAATGATTTAATTACTCGGACAGCAAGAGATTAGCACATAGTTTCTGTTTTTACTATTATTTAAGCAATCAATATATAATTTAGCTTCATCTGTTGAAGATTTTCTACATTTCAAAGAATCTTCGCCCGCAAAGGATTAACACATTGCGTACCGACTAATTTTCAGAAAACTTAATTGTGCGGATGGCAATTTTCACTGAGGTCAACTTATATCACTATACATAGAAAAACTCAGATATCGTATTGTTATGTAATATATTTAAAATCAATCAATTCGAATTCAATTTTATATTTCTTCAATGCAGTGGTAATTAGTGAAGTTACATAGCTAAGTGTCTTTATATAAAAACGAGATTTCTCGTTACGGTACGCAATGTGTTAAAGCTTGAAATGATACCAATTCGTTCACCGATGAATTTCTTATTTCTTCAAATAAACGTGTAATTCTTTTTTGTTCTACTTTGATTTTGCATTAAAATATATTGTAGATGCTTTTCTCTTGCATTTCACGAATGCACACATTATTCTTTCATTTTATTACACGCCGAACGAGGGATTGTTCGAACTAAGTTCCACAGTTAACAGGTCAAGGATCAAATAGATTACAATGAAATTATATCTCAACATTTTCTCAGCCGAACGGCGACCGGTGCGATTCGAGGGGACAAAGAATTTATAATGGGAGATTGAAATTGTACACATTCCGACGGAAGTTCCCGGAATGGAAGCCGCTCGGATGAGGAATGGTTAAAAGAGAGCTAAAGAGCTCGCGCGGAGGGATGGGGGATGAAAAACGAAGGAGGGAAACGGCTGGAGACGCTGAAAAAAGGGGCGGAGAGCGTGGGTGTACGTGACTGGAAATCGAATGCGGCAACTGTTGAATGGATGGCTTACCGATGAAGAACACGGCCGCCTAATTCGATTCGGTGGAAATAGTTTTTAGCTGTTTTCCCGGTGCGCCCGTGTGACGTCTATTTAACCGGCCGCGCTCAGCGTAATGGAGGCTAACCCTCTCTTCCTCTCGGCTCTTTGCGGATTTCAGAGAGTCGCTCCCCCGGAACGATTTTCCAGCCATCTGTCGATGTTTCCCGCAAACTGTTCTTATCAGTGTTTCCGAGCGAAGTGACTGAAGTATTCTGTAACGCGGAAGAAAATGTCCACGGGCTAGGACACTGGAAAAATAAAGTGTAACGCTCCCTTCCTTTTACATTTTCCGGCGAGATTCTCTGTTTATCCGAAGGTTTATAGAATTTAACCAGTTAACTGCGGCGATCTCTTTGCGCCCACCAGAGTGTGTCGCGATAATCAAGCGATGACGGGTATACTCGTCGAACACAGAGTAAGTGGCGCTGTTGAAATATTGGGTCAAAAAGACTTTATTTTAGAAAATGAATTTTATTAGTAATATTTACACAGTCGCTCAACGTGAACATATATTTATACATAATGAACGGACAACTTAGAAAAAAATCAAATATTTATATTTAATCAAAGATCCAGTGTTACTGCACTGCTCAAATTATTTATAATTTTCACTTGTTTGTTTCATTTCGTCTTGACCTCTAAATTTTAAACATATTAAAATTTACGAATATAATTTAGTTTTCGCCAGAATTACAATTTAAATATCAAATTGTAACAAAATCTTACGCATGACGGATATAATCGTCATGACACAAAATTCTGCCACATCTCCATGACGGATATAGTCGTCAAACACACTTAACTGGTTAGTACTAGAACCACCAAATGAGAAAACGAGCCACCTCGTGTCAGTTCTTTCGCAATTATGGAAAAGGCACAGACGATTTGAGAAATTATTCGATAAATTGATTTGGATGAATACAAACTAGAATATAAGGAATGTGAGGACTCGATGAATGTATTTTTATAGATTCTATAAAGATATTTCTTTATTTGGAATAATGAGTTTTACCGCTCGGTAGTTGTAGCGTTGAATCGATGTAATGGAATACGAGTGTTCGCGGATATATTATTGACGTGTAACGTTTGAGAATTTCGATATTTTTAGTTTAAATTGACGATTTGAAGATTTTCATCGGGGCAGAGGATTCAGTTGGATTATCTATTTTAGCGATATATTTTATGATTCGCTACAATTCGATTTCGAACTAACGTTCTCGTTTCGGGGAATATGAAATTTTCACCGAATATTCACTCTTTTATTCATCGAGCGAAGAACAGTTGGATGTATTGTGATAAAAATTTGTCCGGGTGAATCATGAATATTTTAGAAACGGTACAATTATTTTCTCACCCGAAATCGGTCGCGGCGTTTTAATATTCATAACAACGCAAGTGACAGAAAGCTTGTGCTTAAAACTCAATGGAATTAAACGCGGAATTTGAAATTCTAATGCCAACTTGAACATTTCCCGACCGCGTGTGGGTATTCGTGTATGACAATACGCGGGACACGTGTATCCCGCGAATGAACGATAAACCGAGCACCGGCAGCCGAGAATCAAGCAGATTTTTTTAAAATAACCCTCCGAATTATTCGTATATTAATACACAAATATTCCTATTCATTGCACATCATACAATAATAAATAATTAGTGTACTGCGAACTATCACGTAAATTCAAATTTTTAAAATAGAATTAAAACCACAGAACTAAATAATTATTATATTAAAATTATTATTCTAATCAGATTCGTTATTCAAACATAATCCTCCCGAAAACTGATCGTCAATCCATCATATAACATGCAATAATAAATAATTAGTAAACTGCGAATTTTCACGTAAATTTAAAATTTTAATTTTTTATAATTACAACAGAATTACAATGGAAGCTTGTTTTATCTAACAAATATACAAATCGCTGCACTTCGAATATTTTACATTTCGTATCATACAAATACCGCGGAACGTTATTCTGTCGAATTTCCTTCAATTATAATAATATATTATAATAAAGCAATTATTACAGTAAAATTATTATTCTAACAAAATTCGTCGTTGAAACATAACATTATTACAACCCGCCCGAAAACCGATCATCCGTGGCCGCCGCGCCGGGATTTTTCCGCCCCCGTTTCCCGCGACAGCGAACAAATCAAAATCGCGACGCTGTTTTTCACTCGTCGTATCGATCAGCGGAATCCGGGGGATCGAGAGATTAACTACGAGGCCAGGGACGTGTCACGGGGGTAAAGAGCAGGTGGCACCATAAACATAAATCATCATAACACGCTGCAGATAGGGCGGCAACGGGCGGGTGGGAACTGTGGGCGTTATCAATGCTAAACATGCGCATAAAAACTGGCCCGCATGATATGATGCGTGATTCATAGGACAATTAATACCCGGCGATAGAGCAGCTACCAGAAGCATCCCGTTCGTCGACACTGTTTCCGGGGTTCGTTAATCCCCGCGACGCCCAATAACACTGGCCGGAATATAGCTCGCCGAAAGAAAATTTACTCGCGTCTCGGAGACGCGAAATTTCAATTTAAATGGAAATCGAGCGCCGTAAAAGGAAACTGTTAAATCGTTACTGACGCTTTAAATTAGAGGTAAAATACGGTAATGACGAGTCCGAATTAATTTTAACGGATAGCATCCGCTCGACGTGTTTCCGCGGGGAATCGTCATCGAGAAGCGCACCCTCATAAACGCTCGCTTTGAAGACAATTTCTGATGGCTGTTACTTTCTAATCAGTTCCTCGGTAACATTAGCGAAATTTCCGAATTTGTTTAACTTAATTGTATCTAGCGTTCGTTTCAATATTTATATTCACACTTTTATTCTATGTTTTATATATCTATATATTTTCTGTATATTTTCATTGTTAGGCAATATTCATTAAATCCACCGTACACTTACAAATATCAGTTTAACTGTAATAATTACCTTCTAATTACTTTCTAATCAGTTCCTGGGCAACATTAGGGAAACTTCCAAATGTATTTAACTTAATTGTATCTAGCGTTCATTTCACTATTTATATTCACAGTTTTATTTTATATTCTATATATTCATATATTTTCATTATCACGAAATATTCATTAAATCCACCGTACACTTAGAAATACCATTCCAACTATAATAATTACCTACCAGTGTCAACTTCAAGCTTATCTAATTCCCACTTCGATTAATTCGTGGATCTTACGCCGAGTCTTAACTTGAAACTAGATTCTTAGCGTTCCCAAAAACAAACAGAAAACGACGAGTGTTGTATTGACGATGAAAATGTTCGTTTGCAGCCGGAAGAGAATTGGACGGTGATTCGAGAGGCTACAGGAGCGCGGAGGAGCAGGCACGCGAATTGACGCGCAGCATTCGCCGGGAAGTGAACAAACTTTCGGAGCAGTGGAACGCCCTAATCGAACGTAGCGATGCGTGGAAGCGGAAACTCGACGACACCGCTAACGTGAGTACTTTCCCTCCCCATCATCCGCCACCCCAGCCACCCCTTTTCGCCTACACAGAAAGCCACTTACCCTCCGAGCATACTACCCGATATGAATACAAATATTTTGATTCCGTCAAAGGCTGCGGACTGCCGCAACCGGTGAACGTTCCGTCGATTTAGCTCTCTGGAAGACGATCGTCGGCTTTCGAAAAATTTCGCGGAAATTGCTTTCATTAAACGTTCCATTGGTCGCGATTAAACGATTCTTTTTTACCGTTCCACCGTATTTCACTCTCTGCCGATGGGAATTCTTTTTTAAGGATTCGATACCTTTGGTAAAAGTAAGTAAATTGTATGTTGAACACGTAAATTCTAGAGAACAGGAAAAGATCAAGGGAAATAGAGATGATCTTTTGTTTGAATAATTATGTTATTTGTTCGCAACTTTGTTCTTTTTAACACGTTTAGTCTTTCGTTCAATTGCTAATCCTACGTTCATATAATATTTTAGATATATACAACACAAATCCACAGTAAAATTACAAAATCGAATTCCTTATTCTTTTTCGTAAGTCAGACATTTCGGCTTGATTGATGTTTAAAAATGTATCAGTATAATTACAGACGCTCGCGTTTTTACTAGCTGAAATTTAGCCGGCGTGCAATGTGTTAAGTATACAATGCTTTTGGTAGAAGTAAGTAAATTATACGTTGAACACGTAAATTCTAGAGAACGAGAGAAGATCAAGAGAAAGAGAGATGATCTTTTGTTTGAATAATTATGTTATTTGCTCGCAACTTTATGTTCTTCTTTAAGTATACAATGCTTTAGGTAGAAGTAAGTAAATTATACGTTGAACACGTAAATTCTAGAGAACGAGAGAAGATCAAGAGAAAGAGAGATGATCTTTTGTTTGAATAATTATATTATTTGCTCGCAACTTTATATTGTACACAAGAGAGTTCCGTGTCAGTAGAATGATGACACTCGCGTTCCAAGGGCTAAACATTTCACTGGACTAAAAGATCTCTTTAAATTTTCCCTGTTCCCAGGGTTTAGAGTTTCCACGTAGATTATGCGTGAGGCTATTGCCGTAATATTGTTAAAGAAACAGCCCCCATAAAGACGAGGCGGGAAACAGTCATCGCACTTGTGCGAATTGTTCACGCAACGAAGTTAAAAAGCACTTCCGCCCTCGCACAAAGGGCGCTTCACCCCGGCCGCCCCATTGTTAAAGTTAACACTCAACAATCTTGAACTATCCGCGGAACTCGAAATTTTATTCGACAACACCCGCGGGCGCGGAGTTTCAATTGCTTTTTCGCAAAGCTAGATTGGTCAATAATGCCGAACAAAAGGCGAAACGTAAAATGGAAAATTGCTCTTTGAGTCGAATAATATCCTTACGCGAGGTAATATTCCCGAAAGTTTCACGTTATCCGAAAACCACATCTCCAATTCTAATCGTACCTCGCTAACAACTAATCTCCAAAGATTATCCTTCACCTTGAAACACAACGAAACCTTCACTAACATCGGAATCTTCAATTCTTCCGAATTCACTGTAGAACACGAACTACGAACGTTCCAGCAGCTGCTCAAAAATGCCCGGAGTCCCACGCGTCGGGAGTTCTCTCTCAACCCTCGGGACAGCAATCCTCGAAGTCGAAAGCGAGCTTATTGTTTCAAGATTTCGCCGGCCAGAGGAAAACAATCCCCTGGTAACGTTGCCCGGGCAAAAATACGATCAGATTAGAGCGCGCACGCCGACGGGCGAACAAGTGGGCGGCAGTATTTGGGCTTATCGGGGTGGTATCGGTAGAAGAAACCGGTGGCGGCGGTTCAATTCATCCCTCTCGTGCCGGGGTCGTTCGTCGTATCGCTTTATTATTGCCGGTACAATTTTCTCTATCGCCGGGACGTCCCATTTGTCGGAACGACTTTGTGCCCTGGAGGGAAAACCGGCCGCGGTTCCGGTTCCATCCGGCGAAAAGACGACGCACGCCCCGGGAAAAGTCCTGTGTGTCCCGTGGCAAAGGCGATTTTTCGCTGCCCTCTTTTCCGGGAACGATCCGCTTCTGGAACTAACGACGACGAAATTCCCGGCGCTCCTAACCCCTCCTTTGATACAACGAATTACCTTCGTTCCGCGCGATATCCGGCCCGCCCTCGAAAATATATACATTATTAGCTTTGTCAACGGGGACGGCGCACGGCGGAGTGATTATCTCTACGGCGGAAAGGGGATTTTCGATAGATATTCCCCGGTTTTCGAGGGTATAGTGATTTCCCGCCGATAAATTGCTGTCGGCGCCGAGGGTCTCTTAAAGGGAACTGTTTGAACACTTAAACGGCGCGATTTAACGGGGACGTTTCGTTTCGGCCGCCCATAACGATCCGAATGTTTCTTGAAATTGTGATTGCTATGGATTTAAACTCCCTAATTTTTTCACTTAGACAAACTCGACGGACTCTTCTCCAGTTCAATATTAATGAGAATATTTGTCTGAGATATTTAATATCTACACATTCCGTGAAGACAAAGAAATTATCAAGATACATAAAAATTACCAAGAAATTGAATATATCTTAATATTTTATTAAAAATCAATACAGTTCGTAAGCAAAACCGAAGCTTCCGTTGCACGGAACGTGTTAATCTTATATTGATTCAATCTTCATCGAAAACATTAAATACCCAACCGACTCATTATCAGTCATTCTCTACAATCACTAAACCATTTCCAACGAGAAACCAACAATCCCACAGCGAATAAACTTAACGAATCCAACCGGTCAATCCCAATTCTGGCCGGTGGAAACCAACCCGAATAGCCACAGCCCGTCTGCAAACACCCAGAAACAAACTAAAACGAAGACCCCTCGTCCCGATATTCACCATTCTCCCTACGCAACTAAGAAACGCATAAAACCCTCGGCCAGCCGACAATCACTTTCTCGCCGGTAGGAATTTACATGTGTTTGTTTAGCGGAGCCCGGTTCCCCCGGAACTGCGTTTCCCATTAAACGCCAATTTGGCGTCCCGTTACATCGGCGTAGAGCCGGCGCATCGGCGTAATTACAGTGCTCCGCGTCGCGGCGCGTTTGTTTCTATGGTCACGGTTATACGAGCCGCGAGCAGAATATTCCTCAAGCAACGGTCCCGCCGTGCGCGCGCGTCGACGCGACTTTAACGGCCGCCCCCGTATCGGCGGGATCGGCCGTCGCGTAATACCCGGCCCGTACAAAGGGGACGATATTGCGTACACAGGTACACGCATCGCGAATTCCATTGTGCCCCGTCGAGGCGATGCCTCTGTCGAAGGCGGTCCGTCAAGAGACGCGAGTCGTAAAACCCGCTTATGAAATCAGGATTCACCGAGGAACGCGCAGGGACGTATACAGAAAAGGAATCGAAAAGGAGCGGGGTGGGAGGAGCAGAAGAAAGAATAGCGCATTCCACCCACGACGTTAAAACCCCGACACGATCGTGTACGACCGATTTACACTTCCAGTTTCGACGACGACGCGTCGCTCGCCAGCGATTATCGATGCATCGCGAACCGCGGCTCTTGTCGCGCGGTAATAAATCCTTGTACGACGGCCCGACGCTCCGTGGAGGGCTCGCGAACGCTCGCCGATCGTTTTAAAGAGAAGCGATCTATTCTTGGAGATGCATCCCTCCGATGTTCCTCGTGTTTTCCCGTTTGTCTTCGCTCGTGATTTCATTTCGAACGCTGGAAGGTGGATTGCGTCGAGGATCTTTGGATGAGTTTTGATGAAATGGTTCGTGGAACTTGGGACGATGGTTTCTTTGCGCTGTGTGATAAGATTAGAGATAGATTATTGGAAATACACCTGACCCTCGATTTGCGCGAGAATCCACGTGGGCTTTGTGCGAACGAAAATCGTGGGAGTAGAGCCTGTCTGTACAAGGAAAAAAATATTGAAGGGAAAAGCTGGTATAGGTTTTAGAAATACATACTTATTTCGTGTAGCTTAACAAAGGGAATGATAAGAGTGACATTTTAGAAAAGAAAAGTATATTTTATTCACTTTTACTAAATTTAGATCGCGTAAATTGAGATTGCGTGTAATAAGTGTTCTAACGCATAAATAGTGTTCCAATTTATCACGTGAAAAAAGTCCGCGTAAATCGAGGGTCAGATGTATAAATTGCCGAGTGGCATCTTCATCTCACGACGCCGCGACAGAAATATTTTTCATGCCAGTATCTTGCACTTCACCCTCGCGTCGTCTACGGAAACAGTTCTAGCGCAGCTATTTCTAGTTTCGGAGCATCTTGTACAATTAACACCCTCCCGGACAAGGCTGCATCGAAAGTTCAGGCGGCCAATTAACCCGGTATTTAACGAATTCGTCGAAGAAGGTAATAACTTCGTTCCAGCGGTGCTTAACACTAAACCTACCGAACAGTTAGATTGACATTTTGAAGTCCTTTCACGGCAACTTCAGGAGTGCATCTATCGAGACTGAATTATAAATCGATTAGTCTAGAAGTTATTAATGAAATTGATTCAGCAATACGCAAACTGAATTATAAATCAATTAGTTTGCGTATTGCTGAATCAATTTCTTTAATAATTTCTCAAACAAGAATCTCTTGTCTTTTTAATAATTGCGAAATGAAGGAAACAAGAATGGGTCATTTTAACCCATTTTAACCCCCGTCTTAACCCTTTGTACTCTAGAAGTTTTTCATTGGAAATACTCAATACTTTCTAACGAGCTGCAGATGATATTCTCTGAAATTGATATTTATATTAATTGATATATATATTGATATATATATATATTGATATAATATTTTCCTTCAATATCTCACACATTGATGCATTACGCAAAGTTTAATATTAACCCTTAGCACTACAAGTTGTTTTGTAATCTATCAGCAACTGCAACTAATTTTTATACTATTCCCAGCGAAAATGAGAAATGCTATAACATTTCTTCGATCTTTCATTTACCTTCTTAGTACGAAATTTGGATGTGTGGA